GTGGGGTGCTTGGACAGGGACCTGTCCATGAACTTTTTGATCCTATCCTGTAGAAACATACATTTAGAAATGAATAGTAACCATCTAAAGATGTTAGATAGCAATTTGACAGTTATTTTTATGTCTGTCAAATCTCATAGTAAAAAATAGTAGCTTGCATTTTGTCTTTTTAATTTAATTTTTTAACGATATATTTTTATTGCATTTTCCAAAAGTTTGCAACTGTGATGAATTACAAATTGAAAAAAAACCAAAACCACATCATTTACTGCTGGTAGTTTGAGAAGTCTTGCTTTATACCTGAAAAGGAGGGAGTGGGGTTGCTAGCCTTTTCTGCTAAGGGTCCTTCCTGGCCCTATGGACATGTGCTTACCTCCTCCTCAGAGACCACACCCTGAGCTACGGTCAAGGACCAGACTTTGACAGGCCACAAAAGGTCCCCTGCACTCTTCTCCCGGGGAAGTAGGTGTTACCTGCTTTCCATCTGGAAACTCAAGAAGACCACTATAGTTACTATTTCCTCAACAAGAAGAAAATTTGCTCCTCGGTGACTCCTGGCTTTCATTTTGAGATGCAGGAATAACTGGCAACAGTTTAAAGATGTGGCTCACCAGACACCTCTTTACCATAAAATGAGGAAACTGGGGCTCAGAGGGGTTAAGTAATTTCTCATAGGCACACAGCTGGTACAGCTTAGAACCAACATTTAAACCCAGGTCTGTTTTCTCCGAGAGCACATGATCTTTCTAATTTACCACAATTAGTTATTTCGGTGAGATGAGGCAGATTCGCAAGGCTCCTCAAGCTGCCACACAGAAAGAGTTGAGGCGTCTGGAGGAGGGGAGATGACAAGGGCCACCAGGCATGCTGAGGAGGTGAGAAGTGAGAGTAAGTCGATAGGTTGAGGCATAATGTCAGATATGGTTAGGATTTGTAGCATGTCCCCATCTCTGAAATTCTTATGTTGAAGTTCTTGCTCCCAGGACCTCAGAATGTGACCTGATTTGAATATAGAGTCTTTTCAGAGGTAATCAAGTTAAATGAGGTCATTAGGATGGGTCCCAATCCTATGTCACTTAGAAAAAGGGGAAGTTTGGAAGCAGACCCATACGGAGGGAAGACAATGTAAAGAGCCATAGGAGAAGATGACCATCTACAGCTGAGGGGAGATCCTGGGCCAGATTCTCCCCTCACGGCCCTCGGAAGGAACCAACCTTGCCAACACCGTGATCTCAGACTTCCAGCCTGAGAACAGTGAAGACAATGAATTTCTGTTGTTTAAACCATCCAGTTTGTGGTACTTTGTTACGGCAGCCCTAGCAAACTAATACAGACATCCTGGACTGAAAAGTGTTCTGACAGAGCCATAGCTTTCAGAGTGTGATAATATCATTAAAGATTCTGGAGATGGCTGGTTCCCCCAGTGATGGAGAGAGGACTCCATGCCTGTTCAGATTGCTGACAGCGCCTTACCTCATTAACATTTACTCACAGCCTGTCACGGCAGAGTGAATGAGGATGTTCTTTTCAAGCCTGTCAACTTCCTAATCCAGTTCCACCCCCACGGCCCTGCCTCCTGATGAATTTCCGGCCATCAGTCATTTTTTCAGGCCTGACCTCCATAGCCCTCTTACAAAGTGATTTTCACCAGACACAACTCTATTAGTCTTAAATGTGTGTTAAGCATCTCTTTGTGTTGTACATACTTTTATAATAAATAGCGCTGTCTTAGCCCGGGCTCTCATCCACTTCTTCAGAGGCAAGCTGACACTGTCTCCTCTGCCACAAAATTCTCCGGAGTTCTTTTGGAAGGAAAGGCTATTGAGAATGAGCAGGCTACTGAGGAAGAAACATCTGTGGTCCGCAGAGGTTGAGGAGCAGGGCTCTGCTGACCGTGGGGAGGCCATGGGAATAGGAAACTGAGACAGATGAAAGGTTCTACTTCAGGAGGGAATATTTTCATGAATGCTACATGCCATTCTGGCTGGAGGGCCCCTCTGACTACACATAGAGGCCTTCCGAGACTTTTCTGGAAGTTTCTTGGGGACTTCTTCACTGACCTAGTAAAAATAACCATTTGGGGTAGAAGGATTTCTCAGGAGGAACATTTTATCTCTTTCAGTCATGGAGGTGGGCGTTGGCAGGTGGTCTGCAGAGATTCTCTGTCGTTTGTCTTCTAGATCAGTTCTTCCTGTGGACTAGCTGCTTTTGAATCACCTCAGAGTTTAACCAGTAAGCATTCCTGGGTTCTCACTCCCTGAGATGCTGATTCAGGAGTCTGCGCTTATCTCTAGGAATTTGTCACTTAAAGATATCCCCAGGTGACTATAATGTGCAACCAGGTTTGGGAACCTTAGTTCCTCATTTCTGCATTGCTATTCTATGCATCTTTCACAAATATTCACTGAGCACTTTTTCTCTTTTGGAACTGGGTGAAGACCTATCAGAAGGATGAAAGGCACAGTGTTTGTCCTCAGGTATTCCATAGTTTAATGGGAAAGACTGGCTGATAACAAACATTTACTATATAGTGTCACAATTGCTTGTGTAGAATTAGGCCCAGGAGGGCTGAGAGCATTAAATCTACTTTTAGGAGTGAGGGTGAGAGTGGGGTTAGGGCGGTGGTTTTCAACTGGGGGCAATTTTGTCCCTAGGAGATATTTGGTAATGTCTGGAGACATTTTGGTTGTCACAAGTTGGAGGGGCCGATGCTGGAATCTAGTGGTAGAGGCCAGAGAAGGAGGCTCCTAAATATCCTATGATGCCCGGGAAAGCACCCCACAGCAAAGACTCATCTGGCCCTGAATGTCAGTAACACTGAGCTTGAGAAACTGCATTAGGGAAAGCTTCCTGGGGGTTGAAATTGGCAAGGCACCCACGGTGGGGAGTTGGCGATGGAGAGGATACTGTTGGGCAGAGCATGTCTGAAGGCCCAGAGACCCTGAGCAGGCACATCCTGGGAGCTGTGTGACAGCGTGCATACTGGCACAGGCCCTGAGGGAAGAGGCTAGGGAGATTGAACGGTTCTTGGGTTCCTTGTATTGCAGAGTTCTTTCTTTTTTTGTTTAAAGATTTTATTTTTCCTTTTTCTCCCTAAAGCCCCCTGGTACGTAGTTGTATATTTTTAGTTGTGTGTCCTTCTAGTTGTGGCAAGTGGGACACCGCCTCAGCATGGCTTGATGAGCGGTGCCATGTCTGTACCCAGGATCCGAATCGGCGAAACCCTGGGCCACCGAAGCAGAACGCGCGAACTTAACCATTTGGCCATGGGGCCGGCCCCTGCATAATTATTTCTTCCTCAAGGCTAGGGCAGCCACTGAGGGCTAAGTGGTCAATTGCAAAAGTAAACTTGCATTTTAGAATTAGTACTTTGATAGAAATTTTAGGGACTCATGGAGGTGGAGGGTGGGGGGCCAGGGAGGACTCAGATCTCTCAACAAAGAGATAAAGACACACCTTTCCAAACCCAGAATCGGTCCAAGTGCTGAGAGAATGTGCAAGGGAGGAAGGCAGTGGGGAGATGGAGAAGACAGTGGGAAACCCAGAGACGTTAAGCCATTTGCTTAAGGATGTACTTTTAACCAACTTTGGCAGACCTGGAAATTTTAGCAAAAGATCTTCAAGATAAATATGTACTCTAACAATTGTTTGATATCGTGGGGCTGCCCAGACGGCTGCTGAAGTATCTTGCAACTCTTTCCCAAATGTGACTTGTCGTCAAGTTTCCTTCTGGACAGTAAGGCCTACAACATCATCATTACTCGGATAAGTGCTATTTTATTTCACCCAATAGCCCTATGAAGTTGATATTATCCCCAAATTATAAATTTGAAAACTGAGATGCAGTGAGGTTAATTACATAGATAGTATATCAATTAGCTATTGCTGCATAACCCGGATCAGCCTATTGCTGCTCATGAGTTTGTAGGTAGCTGAACGACTCGGCTGGGCTCTCTCACACGTCTGGAGACTTGGCTGAGATAACTCAGCTCTGTTCCCCGTGGTCTTTCTTCTCAGGGTGACCTGAGCGTGTTCTCATAGCCGTGGGGGAGAAGTGGTGGAGGAAGCAGAAATGTGGGACCACTTTTTCCAGTCTCTGCTTCAAGTTTGCTACGGCTGCATTGACAAAACAAGTCACACTGCTGAGACCGCAGTCAGAGTGGGCAGGGACTGAAAGTCTAGGGCTAAAGGCACAGAGAGAGGGAGGCTCCTGATTAGGGCCATTAATCCGTTCAGTCTCCCTCAGCGTGTGGTGGCAGAGCTGGGCCTGGAGCTGGATTCTTCAGATTACAAAGTGTGTGCTGCTTCTACCAGATTCTCCTGCTTTGATAATAAGAACAAAATCAGGAAAAGCGACATACATCAGTTAATAAAAACACTCTCACATATATATTGTCTTAACTGAGCCTTAGAACAACTCCATGGGGCTGGCGGAACTGACATCTTTGTGCAAAGAAAAAAAGGCGAACAAATATTCAGAAACATAAAAGGCTAATTTCTTTAGGAAGCAAAAGGTGTTTAGGCATCAACAAGAAACAGATACTCAATAGAAAAGTGAGCAAAAGACTACCAAGAGGCAATCCATAGAGGAGAAATGTAAGTGGACAACAAACGTATGAAAAGATGCATAATATCATTCAAAATAAAAAATTGTAAAATGTAAAAAGGTAAGATATTATTTTCTCCTTCAGTTTCCATGATATCCAGTGTTGCTTAGCAATGGGAGTGGGGGCCCCAAATAGGAAAATTTCTATGTTCTTGGTGGGAGGATAAATTGATGTGATGTATTTGGAGGGTAACTTTGGTAATAGTGACAAAAATAAAATTTGACTGAACTATTTTATTTTTAGGAATTTACCCTAAAGCTAGATGTACATGAGTCTGCAAAGATATGCACAGGGCTGCTCATTGCAGCATTGTTTGTAATAGCCAAACGATGAAAACTCTATAAGTCAACATTAGAGAATGGGTTAAATAACTTGTCTTCCCATGTGGTCCAGACTGGAGTGCAGGCGTCCAGGAGAAGGAAGCAGTTCTCTGTATCCTGACATGGAAAGATCTCTAAGACATCTTGGAAAAGAAAAAAAATCGTAAGTCTATGAAAGGAATATGCAATTTTCATTTGCATAAAATAAAGATACACCTATCCATGCTTGTGCCTATATAGAAAATATCTCAGAGGGCACTTAAGAAGCAGTTAGTAGTGGCTAATTCTGAGGGAGACCCGCAGAGGTGGAGGAGGAAGAGGACAGCTCTGCTTTCTACTTTCATTCTCTTCCTTTACTGTTTGAATTGTTTCCCCATGAACAGGGACTACTTTTGTCTAGAGATGAAAAAAAAAAAAACCAGAATAAAAGAGAACAGAGAACAGATTGAGAAGTGGTTATTATATTTAAATATTGTCCTTTATTGGCATATCTTACCTTTACAGCTGGCTAATTTGCTCACTTAGCAATTCTTTTTTACTGCCCTCATCTCCATCTATTAAGAAGACTTTATTCTTGCTCAGCATTATTACCTAAGAATGCCCAGGAATTGTTTCCAAGGAAACCCACCTATCACCAAAAGTTGTTGGCGTGAGCTCCTCTGGCCACAGATAGGGTCTTGTTTCTTAGCAACTCAGTGAAATTTTCTCATTTTAATTAAAATCAGATGTTTCCTTAAAAGCCTACTCATAGCAGGGGTATGGAAGGTCATTTATCCTTGTTGATGAAATTCACCCCTGGGCAAAGACTTTGGTGACTGTGAAGTGAAATTCAGAAACATCCCCCAGACAAAGGTGCCCTCTTCCTTAAGTGCATAAATCTGTCACTGCTTTCTACTCACCTTTAATTGACCTGGTCTGGGTCTCTGCCTTTGGCTTCCTCAGGTAAAGTGTGTGGAGGGTGGATACCTGGCCTGTCTACCTCTCCAGTTTCCTGTCGAGACTGAATGAGCTCAAGTAGGGAAAGCACATTCATGATGCTGGTACCACCTTTCTGGTGACCTGCCATTAAGGCCGACAGTTCTCCAATCATGGCACTCTTCCTCACCCAGGATGGACAGGTCCCCGCAGTGCTTCTCCTCGCTCTGCTCTGGGCAGTCACAACACTGTGCTTGAGATGCCCTATTGGATGAAACCTAGCATCCTGCCCTGGGTGAAGACATTTGAAAATATATACACCGTGATAAGTATAAAAGGTTACATGATTGCCAACTTTGTGTGTCTCCTGAAATTGTCCACTAAGAAGGACAAATGTCACCTCTGTGGTATTCCTGACAAAAAACAACATTCTCAACACAATCAGGAGAAAATATCAGGCAAACCTGAAGTGAGAACATTCTACAAAATAATTTCAAAACTGCGAAGGTCACAAAAAATAATAGACTGAAGAACAGAGAACAGCTAGAGATTGAGGACAGTATCATATCATGTCTCTGCAACTTTTCTATTTTCATGGAAATACTCCTGGAGGGCAATTGTTTTTTTATTTGAGTTCATAATAGTTTGCATCATTGTGAAATTTCAGTTGTACATTATTTCTTGTCTGTCACCACGTAAGTGCTCTCTTTCACCCCCTGTGCCCACCCGCCACCCCCCTTCCCCTGGTAACCACTGAACTGTTTTCTTTGTCCTTGTCCTTGTTTATATTCCACATATGAGTGAAATCATCTGGTGTTTGTCTTTCTTAGTCTGGCTTATTTCGCTTAGCATAATTCCCTCCAGGTCCATCCATGTTGTTGCAAATGGGACGATTTTGTCTTTTTTATGGCTGAGTAGTATTCTATTGTATATATATACACCACATCTTCTTTATCCAATCATCAGTCGATGGGCACTTGGATTATTTCTGTGTCTTGGCTATTGCGAATAGTGTGACAATGAACAAGGAGTACATATGTTACTTTGGATTGTTGATTTCAAGTTGTTTGGATAGATACCCAGTAGTGGGATAGCTGGGTGATATGGTAGTTCTATTTTTAGTTTTTTGAGGAATCTCCATACTGTTTTCCATAGTGGCTGCACCAGTTTGCATTCCCACCAGCAGTGTATGAGGGTTCCCTTCTCTCCACATCCTCTCCAACATTTGTTATTTTTAGTCTTAGTGATTATAGCCATTTTAATGGGCGTAAGGTGGTAACTAAGTGTAATTTTGATTTGCATTTCCCTGATTATTTGTCATGTTGAACATTTTTTCATGTGTTTATTGGTCATCTGTATATCTTCTTTGGAAAAATGTCTGTTCATATCCTCTGCCCATTTTTTGATCAGGCTGTTTGTTGTTCAGTTGTGTGAATTCCTTATATATTATGGAGATTAACCCTTGGAGGGCAATGTTTTTGTTGTTTTCAGTTATTGGGACTCTCTGAGGATTCATTTCTTGGACTGTTCTCATGAGAGTGTGAGATATGGACCAAGGGCAATTCTGTGGATGGAGAAGGTAGGGAGAGAGACCTGGGGAAGAGACTGTCATCCCAGGAAAGACTTGCATGGGACACCTGGGGATCTCTGGGCAGACAGAGAGTCCTGTAAGGATTTTGGCTGTGTGGGGAGGCAGTCAGGAGCCCCGAGTTTGGTTGGAAAAGGGAGGCTGTGACTTAATCTCACCTACTGAGTCCTAAGTCCCAGCTTCCTAGGCAAATTGAGTACATTATTTCCTGATCATTCAACGACTATTTATTGGTGGTGTCCTAGGTGCCAGGGCTACAGCCTGTGAGCAGGACTAACTCCAAGTCTAAAGGAGAGGTCAGCATGGAGACAAAAAGATAAAACAGTGTTAGGGAGTGTGCAGGAACTATGGATATGCACATCGAGAAATTCTCTCCTAACTTGGAGTCAGGGAAGACTTCACGAAGGAAGCTGACAACATCTAATCTGAGATCTAAAGATGGGATATGGGTTCAGCAGGTAACAGGAAGCAAGAGCTTTCCCATCTGCAGAATGATGGGGTTGGATTTGATAATGATCAAGGTCCCTCCCAATTCCCATAGCCTCTGACTTTATTTCATAATTCCTACCTCTCTAGCCTTAACCCTGTCCTGCCAGTGACAGTTTTGGGTTCTGGGGAGAACAGAGGTCATGTTTTTGCTGCTCTGAATCTCCCTGGCCTGATCATCCTGGCTGATGAGTGTCTCTGCCAGGACTTGGCTGACATGACGCTCAGCCTAGGTGGGTAATGGGCTCTCTGCACCCTCAGGACTGTATACCCTCACTGAGTCTGCTGGAGTCTTGAAAATCTTGTTTCACTGTCTGCTTTGAGGTAAATGCAGCTCCCAGATGCTGGCAGGTAGATGCTGAGGGGCTGGTGTTGTCAGGGCTGATGATGGCCTGAATCTTCTCTGAGTAGGGTTCTTTGAGGCAGATTCCTATAGGCTGAGGCCCTCAAGCGAGAGAGCAATCTCAAGCTTCCTTGCTGGGTGGCAGATGGTAAAGTCCTCGATGCTGGAGGTGAGAGGGGAAATGATGACAATCCACTTTTGGCCCAGTTGGCAGGCTGCAGGGCCTAATTATAACCCACCAGGACACTCCAATATGGAGCAGGTTTTGGAGACACAAGAAACAAAGAGCAGAGAATGATCACAATATGACTTAAGAGAGGCATCCACGGGCAGTTGTTGGAGGGAGTCAGGGAAAGAGCAGTATTACCTGAGGCTGGGGAGCCTGGCCTTGGAGACAGACCAACCTGGGTTATTAACCTCTCCAAGCCTCAGCTTTCTGATCTATAAAATGGGCTATGATAACACCTTCTTCAGAGGATCATTGTGAGATGAAGTGAATAATGCGGGTTTTATCATTCATGTTGGCACCTATGAGTGCTCAAGAAATGTTATCTATTTTTATAATAATTTATTAATCATCTTCTGTGCCAATATGATTGGTTGATAATTTAGGTTGAAAATAGGTTGATAATTTAAAAAATTCATTAAGGATGAGCTATGCACCTTGAATGCACATTTACATAGAATAGTTACAGCTGGAAAGATCTGTCAAGATCACGTAGTCTGCATTTCAGTTTCCTTACCGGCAAATTGGGGATGATGAGCCCTGCCCTACAAGACTGCTATGAAAATTAATTAAAGATTATGCCCGTGACAGAGACAGTGGGAATCCAGGGCTCGCTCCTGATGACGGAAGGCCAGGTTCTATGCAGGCAGACAGCCCTTGCCTGCAAGATATGGGGGGAATGTCAGACATAGGAAATAAAAGCCAGCAGAGTGGATGTGGGCAGAGGAAGGCTAATTAGGGATATGTCCTGGCTAGCAGGATGCTGATGCTCCTGGGATGCTGAGCAGCCACCCTGAGGTTGCTCTCCCTTCACCTCATCCCAGACAGAAATTCAGTCTTCTTTTCTTTGATCATATGCCACTAGTGGAGTTATGTTATCTTTCTTGCACAAACCACATCTATGCTGCATTGTCTACAGTTTTTAGTATCGATTTCTTTAAAGTAGATTAAGATCCTAAGGATATGAAAATCAATCAACCTCTTGGATTTTTATGATTTCTTCCTGTATCTTTTACAGATGTTTCTCCTACACCTTTATCAAATTTTTCCAAAATATTTAACTTAGTTTTCATGGAAACACAGCCCTCTTCCTTCTCACACTGGAAGTTCATAATTTTACCCAGGATTTAATTAAATGATTACAATAACGAGTACAACTGGAATGAACAGATGTAGGTATGAACAAAACTGATTCTTGGTGTTATAAACTCAATTAGGGGATGCAGAGTGAGCAGACACCCTGGAAAGTAGCTGACTAGCTGTGGGTATCTGGGTGCCATGGGCATCAATCAGTATATTTTACAGGAAACGGAGTGTGCTGTCTAAACCAACTGGTTGGTCAAGCAAAGACCTGTAAAAGAGCTTCTATTGTACTTGAAGATTCCATAAGGCATCATCCTTTCTCTTGCTCTGGTTCTTTATGTACTGTTCTCTTTGTCAGGAAGGCCCTTCTCATCTCTTTCCACCTCTCCCTTTTTTCCAGGACAATACTTATTTTACTTCATGACTTAGTTCAGGGAGTCCTTCCTTCTACCCTATTCCTCCCTCATATTACTCTCCCTAAAACTTTTTGCTAGACTCTTGTGCACTTCCTGTCCTTCCCATCTCCCTTGTGAGGATGGCTGAGCCACAAGATGGAAGGAACCTGGGTTCCCTCCCTCCTCCTCCCACTCATACGAGAGCACATACCTCACTCTGTTGCATTTATTTGGTCACTTCTCTGTCCCTTTCACTAGTATTTGAGCATCTTGATGGCAGGGCAGTGTCATAATCAACATTGTTTCTCTGGCACCAAGCCCAGTGCCTGACATATAGTTTTTCACTAAAAGTTTGTCGAGTGATTTGTAATCCTTTTGAAAGTATTATGCATATAGTCCAATCCCATAGTAGCGTAGCAGATAAACAATCACAGTCCAATAATCAAAAGTTATTCCGAATGGCGTGAGCTATTTATTTGTATTCCTTGAATGCAGTAAACATAACCACGCTACTTAAAACCTCTTTATTTTTTTAAGCTTTTATGCACTTAAATTTATCCACACTTGGTATTCATAGTCATAAAGAGCATAAAGCATCACATATATATATATTTTTTTTATGGACCAGTCCTGGAAATGACACATATTACTACTTACTTATACCCCTGAAGGCAGAACTCAGTTATATGCCCTCTCTCCCCAATTTCAAAGGAGACTGGGAAATGTAGTCTAACTGTATCCCAGGCAGAGTAAATTTCTGGGTGATATGCATATGCATATCTTTATTAGGCAATGTCAAAATATTTTAAAAGTGGTGTACCAATTTATACACCCACAAACATTGGATGAGAGTTACCATTATTCCAAATTCTGGCCAATATTTGTTGCCCATCTCTGGCCTCCATGATATCTTGCCTGGTAATATCAATGTTGTTATCACATTACATGGTATATATATGTCTCCTTTATATGACTGTGACATCATTGATTGAAGTGACTCTGTTCTTTTATTGCAGATATTCAGCAATTCCACCCTAGGTGTGCACCCAGAAGAAAGGTGTGGACCCATGCACCAAGAGATACGCACAAGAATGTTCATAGCAACATTAAATAGGTAGAACCTGGAAGCAATTCAAATGTCCATTGACAGTTAGATGGAATACTGTACAACAATGAGAACGAACAAATGTAACTACACAGAGTAACATGGATGAGCTTAAAAAACACAATACTGAGCAAAATGAGTACACATTGTATGAAGCTGTTTGTATAAAGCTCAAAAATGAACCAATGTAGACAATAGCGTTAGGGTTCCATACTTGGGTGGTGTGAGTATAAAGAAAAGAAAGGAAGCAATAACCTTGAAAGTCAGGTTACCGTGAGGGAGGAGGGAGGCGATTGTGACTGAGAAGAGCTTACTGGCGTCTCCAAAGAGGGGAATTAGGAAGGCTGAGACAGGGCTTTAGGGGCCAGAGTTAGTTGTGGGCAGTTTTAGTTTTAAAATGCAAAACATAGTTATTACTGCATAGCAGGATTACGATTTTAATTTCTTCCTTTGTGCTTGAATTGATCTTGAGAGATTGAGTTTACTTAAACAATAGATTAAAGCAACGAGAAGATCACTTGTAGTGGTTTGAATTTGTTGTCAATTTAAATCAATTAATGTTTTTTCAATTCAGTTCCATGCAGTTCCACAATTACTAATTTAACAAGCTTTGTTGCCTACTATGTAACGGTGACTATGTTAAACGTTAGAAAAACAAAGATGAAAAATATATTAACTGTCCTCAAGGATCTTGTGAGGGGAAAAAATATGCAGTTAACTAAGATACATGCAAAATGTGATCTTCCAAGACAGAACTGTAGACAGAATTCTCTGTGAACACCTGAGGGAGGAACAGGCACCATGACTGGGGAGCTCTGGGAAGGCTGCAGAGCAGAGGAGCTCCTGAGTTGGACCTTGAGAAATGAAGAGGGTTTTGATAGATGGCGTAGGAGTGGAGAGAATGAAAGCGGAGATCTGACAGAAAGAACATCAGGAATAAAGACCTGGAGCATGGATGAGTGTGAGGTGGGCAGGAGGAACAGTAAACGGACAACAGGGCCTGGAGGGCTCGGGGTGTGTTTGACGGAGAGATGCAGGAGGGTAAATGGAAAGTGAGGTTAGACAGGCAGGCTGGGCTCAGACTGTGAAGGACTTGAAAGGCATGCAAGCAACTCAGGCAGCTCTCTCTTTCTTAAAATACAGAGGGTTCTTGATGGATTTGAAGCAGAGAAGCAACTTGGTCACATCTGCTTTAGAAAGTTGACTCAGGCAGAAGGTTAGAGGAGGAAACAGAGAGAGAAAAACCTAAAAGGAGGAAAACCACTCAGGAGGTTGTTCCAATAGTCATCACCAGCTCTCCCCCAACAAAAAAAGCCTGGAGTAAAAACTAGGGCTCTAGCCATGAGAATGAAGAGAAGGGTACTGGCCGACACAAGTACTGTTCAATTGATGCTGAGTGAGGGGGAGGGAAGAATTGAGGATGGTCTTAGGGACCAGCCTATGTGGCTTGGTAAACGGCATGCTTCTCCTGTGAATGCAAAGGCTGTGCAACATCTCTCATTTAAGTTAGTTGAAACTTTGAAGGACGAGGGAAGAGGCCCCCAGTGCTTCAAGTCTGTATGCTTGCTAACTTGACAGAAGTTTTGAGTCTCCTAAAATTTCTGATAGACTCACAGTTCCCAAGCAGTATTACATTTCTTTTGTATAAAAATGATTGACAACTTTGTGATGACACCTTCAAACATCCCTGTCCCAGCAGAAGAAAACGTTGTTTCCACCTAACTCAAAACTCCAGTGTGGAGCCATCCACGCCATGGTTGCGTCATCTTCCAGGGTGAGAATATCCTGTAGGGAGTTGACAAACTGGCCCATCCTCCCTGAGAGAAAGTTCTACCAGAATCAGCAGTGGGGTGAGTTGAGGTGTGGCTGTCCACATTCCCCTATAACCTTGTTGTGCTGTCCAAATTTCTCCCATTTGCATATTCTCTGTAAATCAGGATCTGTCACCCAAGATCTCATCTTTGATGAGAAATTTTGTCCACTGTTTGAATGTTTTGACTCTCCAAACTCAAAGATTAAATACCACTGTACAAAATGTTTCCATTAATCATTGCAGATATCGTATCACAGAAGGCAGTGACAAAATCTTCTGGAGGCTCTTGGGCCTTTATCTGCCATCATCATCCTTTTTTCCTGCCAAATGCAAAAATTCATCTTCCTTCCTTCCTTCCTTCCTTCCAGAATGGAATGATTCCCTGGTACCCACAAATTCATCACTGGTCAGCTCATGGATAAATGCATTCCTTACATGAGATTTATTTCCACCCTCAATATTTTCCCCCTCCATCTAAACTAGGAAAAGAACACATTAACTTTCCTCTAAAAAAGAAAAGACTTTGAAAAGGTGATGGGATGGGAAAGAAACGCGAGGGAGCTTTTTGGATTTTTAAGACTTACTTTTGATCCTCTCTTGAATTTGGGTAAGTCCCTTAACACCTCAGAGCCTCAGTTTGCTAGTTTATCAATTGTAATAATAATAGCCCTGCCTACCCACCCATAGGGTGGTTGGATCAACCGCAGTACCATATGGGAAGACAGTTTGTAAATTGCACAGCACTATATAAATGTCATGCATCAGAATTATTCAGTGCTGTAGTATGAATTTCAGTCTCAAAGGGCAAATGTCTATCTTTTTCTCTTCTTTCTGATTCTTATGCCTATCCATTCTTCATTGACTTAAAATATTTATTGAGTGTCCATTGTATAACAGCATTGTGCTAGAAACAGGGTTGACATAGGTATGACAGAAAATTTATACCAGTTTCAAGGTCAAAAAGATTCTAACAGGGGTGAGGAAATAGTATTAACATCTCTTTAAAAAATAAGCATCGCTTGATGTGGGATATGCTAAAAGGAATGGTGTGTGGTAGTAATTGCCAAGCCTGGCTGGACAGTAGATTCACCTGGAAAGCCCATAGAAAGTGCTAATTCCTATTGAATTATAATTTGTGCGGATAGACCAAGAAATCTGAGTTTTGTTTTCTTTCTTTTTTTTTATCAAGCTTCCTGGAAAATTCTTAGCCTGCCGCCTAGCCAATTCCTTACTGGAACAATAGTCATAGATGACAAGAGATATAGAAGTACAATGGAGAAAGTGCTCAGTGAGGGCTGAAGTAGCTGGGGAGGGTGGGGGTTGGTTTCTTAGAGGAGGTGGGCCTCAAGGTGGGAAGAATGATTAGTAGGGCTTGCACTCAAGACTCTCTTTCCACTGCCTTGATCTGGTTAAACCTTACTGCTCCTTGGGATTCACCAACATTGCCACCTCCTCTGGTAACGGTTTTCTGACTCCATGAGATGGGGCTGGGGGCACATTTGGGCCTCCACAGCACTCTGTGCTTACTTATATCACCACTTATCATGCCAGTTATAGTTATGTGCTCTCTTAGTTGCCTCCCTCTAGACTGTACACTCTATGTAAGAGGAGGATGTGTTTTGTTTGTACTTGGCACAGTGTCTGGCACAGAGTAGGCTTTCAAAAAGCCTTTGTTGAAAGAATGAAAGGCGAAGGCATTCCGGGCAGAAGCAACAGCATAAACTAAGATTAGAAAGTGAGATTAACCTTGGTGTGTTTGAGGGGCATGTGAAGAGTACGTTTGAGGATGGTCCGGCTGGAGAATAGAGAGGGGTGAGATTGGCTTTATGATAAAGCTTTGGGTTCATCCCTTCGCCACACACAGGCTGAGCACCTACAGTTCACCAGGCGTCTGCTGACACGAAAACACCACCCTCTCCCTAGTAGAAGAGATAGCTTTGTAAACAAAAAATTATGCACCAGGCACTGCTGGGGAACAGCACAGGGGCAACAGTAGTGAACAGCCCAGCATGCTACGGCAGCCAGAGTGTGGATAACAAACGCTGCTGAGACGCATCAGGATCAATGTGGCTGATGGCAGGACATTTGGACCAACTCCTGATGGAGGAGTAGTAGAATTTTATCAGGCATTGGAAGTGGGGAAAGGGCAGGAATCTTAGAAGCCTTTCCATCTAAAATCATTATTGAAGCTTGAATCTTCTACCTGCGATCAATCAATTTATACTCGAACACCTTCAATGATAGGGAATTTTCTGCCCTCAAGGCAGCATCCTATTTTGCTTCAAAGGATACATAATATTAGGGCTAAGGATTGTCAGGCAGGCCACGGTCATGTGACATGAATGAGGTGGTTGTTCTCAACCACCATGTTTCACATTTGCACGTGCGCTGTCAACTTTCACTAGAGTCTTGATCTTAACCTTTGCCAGTGACCACATCTATCTTGCTCACCACTGTTACCCAGTACTAGTGACTGCCTGAACAGAACAGGCACCAAATAAAGATTTGGTGACTGAATGAGTAAATGCCGGGAAAGAAGGATGGTGTTCTCAGAATACCCTTCTGCTGCAGTGGTGGCCTGGACCCTGGTGAACGGAAAAGTGAAGGTAGGTGTTCTGAGATGGATCCAGGCAGCCTTAAGTCATGAGTACTGAGGTTCAGGTATCATTTGTCCCCGTTATCTGTCTTAAAGCTGCCCATTTCGTGCCTTGCTTAAAAATGGGAATGTGGAAGGATAGGTGATGCAATGGGACAGAAGCTGGCGAAAGCCTACCCAGGGTCAATGAGCATCTCATGGTAGCTTTTTCCAGTTTCTCAAGTCTCTTTGTAGGTTTGAACATAACTATATCGGAGGAATAAACCTCGTTCTGTATTTAATGGGTAGGGGATGACTGAATAAGAGTGAATAGCTCTCGGAATTGAGTGTATGTGCTAATTGGAAATTGGACGTGATGGGTGATTTCAGAACACAGATCACCGTGAAATAAACACAGGAGATGTGTTCCTCCTGCCTGGGCGGGCAGTGGAAGGAGCAGTGAGTTGGGAGAGAGCCATCTGGGTTCTTTCAGGCTGAACCCTGACTTGATAAACTTAGGCGCCTCAGGCCACCTGTCTGGGACTTACTCGTTGAAAAGTGAGGGAATTCGCTTAGGTTCATAAAACCGTGTGTTGTCTTTCAGGACACTCCCAAGTCACTGAGGTGTTTCAAGGAGGGAGATGACCTGGGTCTTAAGTCACTTCAGCAATTGTGTGAAGCGGGTCAGACTGTGAGGAAGGGTTTTTAGTGCGGAGATAAGCAGTGTACTGTGATCAAATACCCTTTCTTGATTACCTTTTTTTCTGGAATTATTAATTGCAGGGTGTTTTTGGCCTTTTGCCTACATTTTCATGATCCTATTATTAATTCTTTAAAGTGCTTCAAGTGAAGTAAAAAACTCACGTAAGTACTATCAGCCACATGGTCAAACTCACCAGGAATTCTATCAATCCGTTTGGGTTTTTTTCTAGATCTCTCCTTCTGGAAGCCTTTGTCTTTCTGATACAGTCTGGACTAGGGGCTCTCCAGGCCCACCCCACAGTTGTTATCCTAGACTTCCCTCCACCCCTATGTTAGATCTTCTGTTCCCTGGATCCTGGTTTTTTTGGTTCTTGATTTATTTCTTCACTTTGGTACAGAACATCATCCAGTAATTCCTGGAAAAGGCATTTAAGGAGAGTAAATTTTTTGAGAAGTTGTATTATGAAATGTATTTTTTTCCACACTCACACTTTAATGACAGCATACCTGGTCATGACCCTGGGTCAGAAAGCTCGGATTTGGGAAGGCTTTGCTGCGTTCATTTTTGGCTTCCAATGTTGCTGTAAATGATACAATACTGATTCTCAGTCTTTAGTGCATCACTTCTGTTTTTTCTCTGTAGGTTTTAGAGTCTTCACTTTGTCCCAAAGTTCTGAAATTTGCCAACAATATATGCTTTTTTCAAGCAATGAGTGGGAACCCTCAATTTGGAAACTTATATTCTTTTGTTCTGGAAAAATTGCTGGTATTATTTCTTATATAGCCTCCTTCTGTTCTAGCCTGTCCTTTTCCTGATTCTACGATATGTGTTGGATCTCCTACATTGATCCATTAATTGTCTCATCTTTTGTCGAAAGAAAATTCAGAGAGCTTTACTTAATATGGTATTTTGTTGAGCGAGAAACAAACTGCTCGTGAACTGGGAGCCCTCAAACCCAAAACTAGTATGAAGCTCAAAGGCATGACGTTCCTGGATGGCTTCTAAAGGGAGAATGAGGAAGTTGTTTAACCTTTATGATGATTGGTTATTACAATGGGGGCAGCGGGGGATTGATTAAAAGTGATTATCTTTTATTATTTCAGAAAGATGACAAATTTTGATTATGATTATCGGATGTAGTTACAAGAAATATCCTAATTTAAGTTTCACTTACATTCGTGAAATAAACTAGATTAAGTTTTGCCTATGTGGCTTAAATCAGAAGATCTTCAAGCCTCATCTCCATTTTATTTTATTTGAACACTTTCTGTATATTCCACCATTTGGTCTACTTTCCCAAAGCTATCCTCAATTTTCTCTTCCCAATCTCCTAGTGAATTTGTATTTCTTGTATCATGCTCTTAATTTACAAGAGCTTTTTTTCTAAAATGTTCTGATACAAACACTCTTTTACAAAATGGCATTCTAGTCTTCCTTTCCTGGCTCCAAAGAGTGAGACTTGGGACCTGGCATTCTAACAGTTTGTTAGAGACTTTTCCTAACCCCCTTGCTTCACACTCTTCTATGGTGGAAGCTGGCACTGCCATGTGCCAGCCTCTCTGGAGCCATGCAGTGTGAACGGGCCATGTCTTATTGATATCTTTTCCTGCAGCACTTGGTATTCAGCTTTCTCAGATCCACTAGAAAAATCTTTTTCCACTTTCCGTCTTCCCAAAACTGGTCTCTCTCCCATTTATTGCCCTTGTATGTTTATACTTTTTGAATTCTTCTGATATCTTTTTAGAAGGGTATTTATAGA